GCCTATCCCATGGGAAGTATATCTGGGATTTATGGAGAGTCAAAAACACATCCAGAGTATGGTTATAATCAACTGTCTTTTGTTTACTTGTAGACTATTCCAAATACTTTGAGCACGCTTGAAGAGAAATCTGGTAAAGGCTGGTAAAGGGAAATTCTCTCATCAACTCTCAGGTGCCAGCCCTGGTATCTAGAAGAGGAACCTCCCAAAATGCATACCTTACCTCAGCTTGCAGTCTCAAATGCATTGGATTCCCCAAAAGCCACAGCTTTCTAACAGCAAAACAGATTCAGGAATGAATTCAGCATTCTCCCAACTATTTATGCTACTGATGAGACTTGTGTTACTTGGCTTGAAATGCTAGCTAGGTGCACATTCAGGACAACCAGCCTCTTTGCAGTTTTGGCTTGAAATAAGTTTGGCCACCAAAGGAAAAAAAACATACACGCCAATAAGCCATCTCTTCTCCCCTTTAGTTGTTACAGCTCCAACGAGTAGAGCAGTTCCCAGGGATTGCACTTCTTGCGCTTCGTTTCCAGCATGCAGACAGCAGTGTCATGTTGTTCATTACTGGAATGATGATTCCAGGTATGGGACTGTGGTCTCAACAGAATGCAGATGAGCTTCAACATTGCAGCAGTTGCAAAGATTCCCATAAAGCATATTCGAAACAAATCAGTACTAATAATGATGAAGAGTTGGCATATTTTGCATTAGCAGACAAGGCTGAGCCAAACTTTCCTGTTACCATTCAAGGAAACAGTCAGTCTGGGTAAAGAGTCACTGTGGAGCTGCTGTATCAAACAATCTATCAAACAATAGATTTCACTCTCTGTGGTGCACTTACCTTGCTTACAGTATAGCTTGATAGTCAACTTAAGCAGGAAGATGTATTTCATAAATGAAAGATTTAAATATTCAATCCATAAATATATTTTCTCGGACTGGATAGTCCCAAAAGGGACTATTTGCATCCAAACTAAAAACATGACAAATCTTCCATTCAGGAAAAGATCTGGAATTCCTCCACTTCCGCAGTTGGATAGATACCCACACAGAGATGAATTTTTACCCAATCCATCTGTTGTAAACAACAGTAGAAAAGGTCTGTAAGGAATATTAGCAAAACAGAGTCTACTCCTTTCTATTCTATGCTATTCCTGGTGTCATAAAGATTTTTACGTTTTGAGAAAGGGTAACAGTTTACCTAGAGAGGCTGTGGAGTGTCCATCTGTAAAGTTTTTAAGACATAGCTACACAGAGCTTTGGCTGACCTGATCTAGTATCAATGGTAGTCCTGCTACGAGGTGGGAAATTACAGTAGATGACTGCCAGATATCCCTTACAACCACATCTCTATGGTCTATGAAATGATGATAACACAAAGTCTGAGTCTCCTTCTGGAATTAAAGGACAGGGCAACCCAACCTTAATTTTCATCAGGGAACATCTGTTTGCATTCTTAACCTGCTATCCCTTTCTGAATAACCAAACGGTATCACATCATAGGAAAATAGAAAAGTCTAGATTGGAAGGGAGTTCTGGAAATCATCTCATCCACCCTTAAAGGAAGTCCTTAGGTTAGGTTATCCAGGGCCCTGTCAAGCCAAGTCTTGAATATTTCCAGCAAGGGAGATTCCACCAGTTCACTGGGCAACCTATTCCAGTAGCTGCTTGCTCCCACAGTGAAGAATTGTTTTCTTTTATCTGGACAGATATAAGAAACCTGAAGCAACTTGTGCCTCTCATTCTGTCACCATGCATCCATCAGAAGAGAGTAAATCTATCCTCTTTACAGCTACCTTTTGAGTGGTGAAGACTGTGATCAGATGCCCCCCACATGCCCTCTCTTCTGTAGGCTGAACAAACCTGAAACACAGAATGGATGACGTTGGAAGGGACTGCTGAAGATTGTCTAGTCCAACCAGCCTGCTCAAAACAGAGTCAACCGTAGCAAGTTGCTCAGGGCCATGTCCGGATAGGTTTTGAATAGCTCCAAGGAGGGAGACTCTACAACCTCTCTGAGCAACCAGTGTTTGACTAGCTCATGTTTAAAGTGTATTTCCTGTACTCCAGTTTGTGCCCTTTGCCTCTTGTCCTTTTACTGGCACCACTGAGAAGAGTCTGGCTCTGTCTTCTTTACTACCTCGTACCAAGTATGTAATACTTGATAAGATCCCCCCCTCAGCTTTCTCTTCTCCAGGCTAAACAATCCCTGCTCTCTCCGGTTCTCTTCATATGAGAAAAGCTCCAATCCCTTAGTCATTTTTGTGGCCCTTTGCCATTATGTCCACGTACTTCCTTGGACTGAAGAGAGCAGGACTGGACACAGCACTAGCTGTGTAGATGGGAAGACTCACCTTCCTCAACCTGCTGGCACCACTTTTCGTAATCTTCCAATGCCCTTTACTCCAATTCCTTCAACCTTTCCTCATAGTTCAGGTTCTCCAGCCCTAATCATCTTGGTGGCCCTCCACTAGACCCTCTCCAATTTTTCAATGTATCTGTGTCTATGGAGGATAGTACATTAACATTTTTCAAGAACTCGGATTTCCTAATTTAAGCCGAAACCTCTCAGATCTCATTGGATCTCAGTCCAAACTAGTGTAATCCATGATGCATTCATCTGTCAATATAGGATATGTAGTAGCCTTCACTTCAGTGAGAAAGGTGGCGATGGTTTCTCTGACGGCAGGCTTAACGATGGCACAGAGATGCTATCTGAGCAATGTGTCTCTAAGGATGCACTCCAAATTCTTGCCAGAAAGAATTGCAGCAGGATTACAAAATCCATCCCAAATTCTTTCAGAATTAATTCATTAAAGATTCACCTTCTCATATTCCTCTCAGTACTACATGCACCTAAAGATAAAAGCATCTTCTTCCCCACACCTTAGCTGTTAAAAAACAGGCCTGGCCTTTTACTTGCAAAGGTCAGAGCCATTTGAATCACCTTCTAGAATCTTGATGGATGAAACAGAAGAGCAAAGCAGGCTTCAGACAGGACACTGCAAATGACATGTTGCAAGGTAGCCAAAGTGCATCTGCCCATATCCATTATATCACACTTCACTGGGACTCTTCAAAACCTGTACCAGCTCAGTGAGAAACATCTTTCGGCTTTTTTCACACATTTACAGACATCACAACGTTTCTTGACTCTACAGACTGGACATTTCATTCAGTAAATTAGCTTTCTAATCACTGTTCTCCTCAGACTAAAGTTTTGCCTCCAGCTGTTAAATTAACAATAGCAAAATATGTATCTAGTGACTACTGTAAGAGTGAGAGCTTCAGGATTTCCCAGTAACCTTCTCATTTCCCTGCAATGGTGTTTCGCACATCTATAAGATCATAGCTGAGATAAAAGGGAGGGACAGCCATGCTGTCCTGCCCTGAGGATTCCTGGCCACGTTCACACTGCACTTGCACTGCTGGGCAAAAAAAGAAAACACAGCCTATTCAGGTTGAGGGACAGAGAGACTCATGTGTACCAATAACGGAACGTGCGTACGAGCAGTGCATTATCGACCTCTCTGGTCACTCCAAAGTTAGTCACTTTTGATTGTGAAGCTTGGCTCAGGAAGAAAAAACATCCAGTTCACCTTTTGGACTGGAATTCACTGGCTGTGGTGGGAACCAACAAGAGGCATGAAAGTTAGGGTCTTGAACAGCATAAAATTAACTTTTGAATCTTACATGAGTTTCCCTTTCCTTTCCTTTTTTTTTTTTTGTTTTTTTTGGTCATTTCAGGTCCCTTCAAACCATGTGACCATCTGTTTGGTAGCTGGCTGATCAGAACTGGAGTGTGGACCATAGTGGGTTTGGCCTTTATTTGCAATGCACTGGTGACTGCTACAATCTTCAGATCTCTGCTGTATATTTCCTCCATAAGACTTCTAATTGGTTTAATATCCATTGTAAACGCCTTGATGGGTCTAGCCAGTGGAATATTAGCCAGTGTGGATGCATCAACTTTTGGTAGCTTTGCTCAGTACGGAGCATGGTGGGAAAGTGGAATTGGTTGCCAGATAACTGGCCTTCTGTCCATTTTTGCTTCAGAGGTTTCCATTTTCCTCCTTACCCTTGCCACACTCGAACGTGCATTTTCTGTAAAGCATGCTACAAAGTTTGAAACAAAATCTTCTACTGCTAGTGTAAAAATAGCCATTTCTTTTTGCTTTATGTTGGCGCTAGTCATTGCAGTGATACCACTCCTCAGTGGAAGGGAATATGGAGTTTCTCCACTTTGTTTACCATTGCCGTTTGGAGAACCCACTGCTATGGGCTACATGGTAGCACTGGTATTGCTGAACTCCCTTTGTTTTCTAGTAATGACTATTGCTTATACAAAGCTCTATTGCAGTTTAGAAAAGGGAGAACTAGACAACGTTTGGGATTGCTCTATGGTGAAACACATAGCCTTGCTACTTTTTACTAACTGCATTCTTTATTGCCCTGTGGCCTTCTTATCTTTCTCCTCCTTACTCAATCTCACTTTTATCAGCCCAGAAGTGATTAAATCAATACTGCTAGTGATTGTTCCACTGCCCGCATGCCTAAACCCACTCCTTTATATACTTTTCAATCCCCACTTCAAGGAGGACCTCGGAGGTCTACGAAAGCAAACTTTCTTGTGGAGGAGATCAAAACACACTAGTCTGATCTCTGTGAATTCAGAAGACATAGAAAAACAATCCTGTGACTCAACACAAGCACTGGTAACCTTCACAAGTGCCAGCATATCATATGACATGCCTACCAGCAATTCACTAATGCCATCATCTTATCAAATGACAGAAAGCTGTAATCTTTCATCAGTAGCATTTGTTCCATGTCGCTAGTTTCAGTGGCAATGCAGAAAGTATCTATGTTTACAAAAATTTTAATCTCAAAAGTAAGTATGAGTGTGTGTATACAAGCTAGAGAATGGCTCTAAACTATTGTTACATGAATCACAAAAACAGATCATCACAAAACTTGCAGCAAGCTGAAAATCCAATACATGAGCCTTCTCAGCCTCTTTAGAAAATGCTGGGATGAAAAGAGAAACTGAGAGTTGCCAGAGTTCATGCAGTTGTATCAACTGTTCTCTTTTAAAGTGGCACTACTCAGAAAAGGCATCTGTTCGTCAAGAGCAAAAATACTATGTTAAACTGGTAAGCTTTTTCTTCAGAGCATTACCTGGTAGAGTTTATGTTTTGGGATTTTTTTTTTCCCTATTTGATATCATTTGCTCTTCCTACTTCTTCAGTTCCATGATTGTTTTCTTTTAAGTGTCTGTGTATGGCCCTGATTCAGCAAGGTATTTAAGTGAAAGAGTAATCCTGTTGAAGTCCTAAAGGTTTCTGGAAAATAGACAGTGATGAAGCTCCATGTTTTATTGATAATGCTTTTAATTTAATAATTTAGTTGCTTCTAGGTTTGTTTTATAGAAGTCATCTGACTTGACTTTAACTGTCAGCTAAAACAATACAAAATTAACATGACGGGAAAGAAGTTAATCAAAATCCTACTAAGTGGCTAAAATGTAATTGTTAATGGCAAGCCACTGTCACATGGACATTTTTCTAGTGAGGTTCGGCACAGTTTGATCACGACTTACTGTCATGCTGGTAGAATTATTTCCAGAATTACTGCTGATAAATTTGGCAGATGACTCTTAAAATTCGGGAGTGGAAAGCACTACATGGAAAATCAATACAGAACGTTGGGTGTGCTGAGTGCAAATAAATGATACCAGAGGTACTCACTTAGAAACATTCAAGTCATTTGTCTAGGAACAAAAGCTGTAATCCTACTATTGGTGTGATCTCTGTCCTGCGAAGCAGTGATTGTGGAAGGCCTCTAGTTCATGGTTGCTAGCCAATTGAAGAGTTATCCAAGGGGACACAATGCTCTCTAATTACAGACCAGGGAATATCAAGTAGGAGTTAAAAGGTTGTATGATCTGTGTCCTTACCGCTGACGCAAACAGTACTGGAATATTTCACACAGTGCTTGCACCCACATGCTGTGAAGAACTTTGAAAAACTGAAAAGGATTTAAATACCATAAATGTAAAAAGCAGGTTATCAAAGAAGTGATTTGATCACAGTTTACTAGCAGCTACTAAGAAATTATTGAGTTTGAGAGGAACAGTCTAGTCAATCAAGAGGAGAAGAATCTAATAAGATCTACTGGAAGTTGTCGTTAGGGATATACAGCATAGAAATAAAGGTGCAAATTGTTGACAGTGATGGCAGTTGGTGATTGGAACTGCTAAGGCTTAGGGGGAACCAAGTATACGTAAATTCCGATTGGATTTATTCTCGAAAAGAGGTAGTGGAGGAGCTGTTGGAAATCAGGGAAGTTTCATGGCTTTAGATAAGGAGAAGGGTAGATTAGAACACAGAGTTCCTCTCTAGCTTTAAATCTGTTAATACTTTGCCGAATCAAGGCATATACATTTACATATGCCAGAAGCATCCCAATTACAGCCTACTGTCAAAATATTTCAGACAGCAGAGCCACCTTTATTTTCCTAGATTAGTCTTTGACCTTGACTAAGCCACCTGGGGAAATTCCAATATTCTTTTGTCAAAGTTGGCATATTTTCAGACCATTTAAGATACAGAAGTGCACAAATTTGGAAATTTTTTTGTTGTTAAAAATAGTTCTCCAAGCAATAACGTTTAATAGCCCAGCACTTGTTTCTCAGTTAATGGCCACTCAATCTCCAGGTGCACAAGCAATTTTTGAACATTACCAAGGTTAGGCTAGCCCAGTAATTAAGATGATTTCTGTTGTTCATCTGTTATTATGTACATAACTTCCTGGCACTCAAAGGATGGATTTTCCTAATGAAGAATCTGTTGCCAGCAATGGACATGCCTTGATTTTCTTCTCCACTCACACTGGCTTATTTTTAGTTTTGCATTTACAGATGGCATCAGTTGACTTTGGCATGTTCATCCTTCAGGAAAAAAAAAAATGAACAAATGCAGAAATTATGTATGATAAAGTCAGCTGTGTACTTATCTCGATCCTTTATCTCCTGTGGCTTTTGAAGCAGTGCAGCATACAGCTGGAGAATGATGCCTGAAACCACTTTGGATTAAACAGAGGATCAGTCAACCATTGCACAATACCTATTACCATGTTTACTTAGCTTTATTTTAACTAGGATCCATCTGTGCTGCACTGCTTAATGTCAGTGAAATTCCTTTCAGCTCGCTATATTTAAGAAGTTTGTAAAGTGATTTGAGAAGCAAAATAATGTTATATTTCTAAAGACTAGTTTAAGAAAGCTTCTTTTATCAGAACTTTTTTAGCTTGCAGAAAGTCCTAAAGGCTTTGTCTTATTTTTATAAGCATGTTTGAAATATTTTGATCAGATATTTTAAACTTGAAATTGTTAAAATTCATTTAATAGATTTTTAAAGTAAAATGTGTAAATATAGAACTGTATTTATTATTACAGTGAAATGCAACCACAGTAAAGGACATGAGATTAAGCCCTGTACAGTTTCATATTGATATTTGCTATATTTTCTGCTCATATATATTACTAAATTCATTATCTGTAAATAATATATGTAAATGTGTAGTGGTTGTAAATAGATGACATACTTTCTTTTTTATCAATGTTCCAAACATACGTAATTTGTAATAAAATGTGACTACATGGTAGAAAGCATTTAATCGGGGCCTAACACCTCACAAATGTGCGTGCATCCTCAATTCATCATTCCTAAGTTATTCTAATACTTACACTGACTTCCCCAGATGTCCAAAATTCTTAGCAAAGTTTAAAGTTATGGGTTGTGTGCTCTCATTAGATGTCCAAGGGAGCAAGAAACATGAAGAATAGTGTTTCCTTTCCACACAGACCAAATCTTTTTATGAAGACTTCACTCACAGAACTTTTTTCAACAGATTCTGCTCCCCGCACGCATACTATTGATATTTCAGTAACAGCCTCTCAGGGCTGCACAACTGGCATGTGAGAGCCTCTCATCTCAGACTATGTGACGATGACATGCATCTGGTCACACAATAAACGCGTAGAAGTTACCTGGCAGGCCTTAGGCAGTCAAGTCTCAGAGCAGTTGTATTAGGTGGGACAGAATCATCAGCAAATGGGGAGGAGAAAGGCATTATATGTAGGAAAAAAAACTGGAGGCATGGCAAAGACAGCATAAGACAGCGCATGAGCCAAGGAAGAGAGAGGCCTTCAAGAGGCAGGAGGCAAATGGGAGCAGAGTTTTATGGGATCGGAAGCGTAGTGGGGGAGTTTTTTTGAGGGCTAGCTCAGATTTGATGCAAAAGGACAAAAGCAGTGTGATGGCTAACGAGATTAAAATGATAAGAAAGCAGTCAATGAAGAGGCTTTCACCTGCACCTGCTTGGTCTTGGCAATGTGAGAGCTGAGGGGCAACAATGGAGAAAAAGGAAATTGCGTGATTTGAGGAAAGAAAAGGAAATAGAGTAACTAGAAAGGAAGAACAGCCTGGGTAATGAAAGCCTGAATGCAGAGCAGAAAGACAGACATCACAGTTGTATGTCTCGGTACACGAGAGAAAGATCTCTATTGACTTACTTACCATATAGTGGTAGGGCCTAAGTTCAGAACTTCAATGTTCTGGGCAGTGTAAAAAGCATAGGTGATTTCTGCTTTAAAGTGCTCACACCACCCAAGTGTAGTCTAACCGTCAGTAACAACTGAAGGAGAATTCACAGCAGTCTTATGTCATAGATCATTTAGGTGCAGCATCACCTACAGAGCCACCTGTTCACTACTCTGGCACACTGGATAAAATACGGAGTTTTATTTGGCAACTCAGTACTTGAGGAAGCTACAGATAGGCTGGCTGAGGAAAAAGAACTAGTCAGCAGAGATACAAGTGAAAGCCATAAAGTAGATGAGATCACCTGTAAGAAAAGTGGAAGGGGACAATGGCTGAGCCTTAGCAGACTTTAGTGGATGAGGAGCACCAAGAATGATGCTGCAGGAGAAACACTACCAGCTGGGCCAGTGTCTTCAGTCCCTGTCCTCACAACAGGTGGGATACATCCATGGGTAAGCTGGTGGCATTACTTGATCTTGAATTGAGACCAACCACTTTCACAGTCCTTGCTGCTGCTCCGTTTTTGCATTCTGACTTAGTGACCCACCTGTATAAGTCAGCAAGAAAGCTGCTGCTGCATAAATTATCAAACTCTTTCCTATTCATAGTCTCTGTAATAGGAATTTCTGGTTTACAATATTGGGCACCAGTTATTTCCTCAAATTGTTATGTGAGATGCTGAAACAATAATCTCATAATCAGACATTTCTCTATCATCAGTTTAGACTGCTGTATGAAAGTTAAGGCACAGCTGAAAACCTCATTACTCAACTGCCTAAGGGAAAGCTCAGATATTTAAGAGGTTTGCAGCAAAATTAACTATCTTCCTTCAGGAAGGCACTGAAAGTCAAGAAAATGGAGACAAAAGAGTAAGAACATCAGTATAGGAAGGCTGACAAAAAAGAACAAAATTGGGATCAAAGGAGCAACAACGTTGGAAAATCTTTTCCATTTCCATCAGGCTTAAGAATTGTGCAGATCATCAGCTGCTGCAAGAGAACATGGCTCTCACTCCAGCAGAGCTAGGCTTCTTCCAGCAACAAATGATGGACCAACATCTCCACCAACAGCAATCAGTATCTCATGTTCATTTTCAAAAACGTGTATCAACTATAATTATTGTAGGGACAAATCTATCATTCTCCAACAATGTTAATGTAAAAAAATAATTTGAGTATTATTGTTTATTATCCAAACAAGGCTTAGGAAATTGATTCAACTATTACCTGTTTTTGCTAGAGCAGAAGCCCAGCTATGAGATTTAACACTTTAAAGGAGAATACAAATTTACCAATGCTAATAAGTAAAGTACAAGAATGTCCATGTATTTATACCTAATGCTTATGACCATACTAAAGAAAAAAGGCAATATGAGCATTAAGAACATCTTGTTCACATAACGAGAATCACAGACTTCTGCTTCAGTGACTCTGGAGACATAGGAAGTACGAGTACATTCCCTCCATAAAACAATTTGTTGTGGCATTGTCAAAATTATCTAAGGATCCAATCTCAGTCATAGGGAAAAAACAAACATTAAGAAGATTCCTCTTGAGAGCTGGCTTGCAGCCAGGTTTCCTAAAAAAAAAAAAAAAAAATCAGTCACAGACAAAGAGTCCACTCAAAATCCCTTTTTAATCTTTTCACAGGTGGCAACGCTTTCCACTTGTCAAGCAAAAATATGCCTTCATTAACAAGGGAAAAAACTGTTCATCTGTGAAACTAAAGACTTCCACTAAGTATTATGCATATAGGTACCAAGAATCTTCTCCAACTAGCTTTGAAAGTCTCAGGACTCTGAAATAATTAATACTTGAAGGAAGTTTCAAACATCTCCTTTTTCATCTGGAGTCATTCTTGATATGTAATCATTGTTTTGACAGGTGTCTGCAGTTATTAATTTGGTTCCATGCACAACAAGAACTTCTCAAGACTATCTATAGATTTCCCTGCAGTTATCAACATTTCCAGTTATGAACTGACATTTTGCTTGAGGAGGGAGCTCTCCTGGCCTTCTAAGAAAACAAACAAAAAAAAGCAACTGGGGAGATTGTTCTACTAGAAACAGGTTTCGTCTCCTGTAGCAAGTACCACAGCCTTCTGTGAAATCCTCCTAGGCCTCTTTTCTGGTTAACTATGAAAATGAATTCCAGAAAGCCTTGTGCAGTCAGGGAATGAATTAAAGGATATGAAGTCAGTCTGCAGTCTGCAACATTAACAGGTGTCTTAGTGCTTCTATCCTTGAGTGTAGTCGTAAGTCAGAAAACAAAAAAGGAAGCCAGGATTATTGTTCCAGAGAAGCATGTAAAAGAGATTGATGAGAACACGTCTAAACCATGACAAACGAGCCAAGTGAAGAACCAGCCATCACTCAAACCTTCCACGACCTGCCAGTTGCCAGCAATTCAAGACCTTTTCTGGTAGCAAGTCTTCTCTAGACATCATTAGTTCATCTTAGGTCATGCAGTGAAAAAATAGATCCCTGAGTTAAGTAGATGCTCTACTGTGAGCAAGAAGTATGAAGAGTTTTGCCATAGTTGATGTGTACTTGTCCCAGTATACAGACAACGCGGCATATTGTTACCTTTGTCCACATTCTTCGTTGTAGGTTTGGGCAATTGGCATTATTATGGAGTTCGTGAGATTTCAGTGTATTCCTAAATACTAAGTTATAACTGCATGCAGATTTTACACAAAGATTTCTCTGAGCTAACTGTTCCTCAAGGAAACTGGCTGTTGCTTACCACTAAGGTGGCCACAGCTCTACACAATTTCTCCCTTGTTTAATGATGACACGGTATATTTGACACTTGTCAAATTCAGTATGACAAGGCCGCAAGGTGCAAGGCCCATTTGTAGAACTGAATGACACAGAAAGCCATTTCCCAAAAATGAGTGGTATATATTTATCTCAAATTTCACCTACAGCTGGTTGGGAAAGTGTAGGAAGCTTGAAGAGAACAATCCAATATTAATTTTTTGACTGAATTTGTCTTTATTTTGTAAAAATAAATTAGCAGCAGCCCAAATCGATCTCCAGACTGCTGAATACAGAAAGGCCTGAGATGCTCCAGCTGCCAGAACAGTCATCACATTTATGTTCATACCTCAAGATCTAAAATCCATCACACTAGGTTGTACCCCAAAATACAGAACAATATAACAAATCAAATTTTGCAAGACATATCCTGCAAGAAAGTATCTCAGTTCACGACTTTCAGGAACGATCTTTAATCTCACAGTCTTCATGCTGGTCCAGTTTGCTGACTTAAGGTTTAAAATGGCAAAAACAGGACTATGTTCATAAGAGTACGTTTAATGTAATTCAACTAAAGTATGAATGTCTTAAGGTCAGAGCCTAATTTTCCCCATGTTAGGCAGGGTTTAGGCATTTCTTTTAAAGTACAATCTAACTCCAGAGACAACTAAAGTTAATCAGGTCTTCCTGTTTAGAAAACAGAATCCCCATGGGCCTGTGCAGAAACATCTGTGTATATTTTAAAATGCCCTGATATGGGGAAATAGCCTGCCTGTGTAAATCCAGTGAGGAGGGGACATCCTTAGAGAGTAAGGATACTTTCCCGGCACTATCCTGTACATTTACAACACACACACATGAAATGCTGTCTCCTTGAGCACAGCATTCCTCTGCTCGCAATGCTAGGCTGCCTTCCAGCCATGTCACCCAGAAGTTGTTACCTTCCTCTGTAGCTCATACAACAGCGAACTTCTCTGGATGACCCTGGTACTTCCTCCTTGCCATGTCCAACTGCTTCTCTTTCCCACTCCCTAACCCGCTCTTGCTGCGAAATAATACCCAAGATGTGCTTCTGGCTCATTTAGTTTAGTTTTCAGAGTGGCTTTGCTCATTTTGGGGCAGGCACTCTTGTTTACCTTTATCTAGGTGAAGGGGACTCTATCACCTATCAGCCTGAAGAAATTTTTCCCTAACCTGCAGGATAACAATATGAATTTTTACAACCATTGATGGTACAGCCTGTAAATGACTCGGCCATAGTGTCCTGCACCCACAGAAACACTCCTGTCATCAAGTCAGAATCTGCTGATGCAGAGGCAATTACAGCAATTACCATCA